AGGATCGGTGTACGCTATATAGAGAGATGTAGTTAAGAAAATTTGTCGGGACTGAGCTATCAATTTCAAATTTTCAAATTTTAAGGGTGTTTTAATGTAGGTATGGTGCCCAACAGGGGTCCATATCTTCTGTTCAATTTAGAAAGGGTTTTAAATTAAACAGGTTTATTTAGACAGATGTCCCTGTCTTCTGTGCGATACACAACATGTGTGATAGTGGGTACAGTGCAATGTGATCTATGGAAAAACTTGACGTTGGCCTTTCTGTCCTACAACGTGACAACAAATTCGTACCACGTACGACATGTCAGCCAATGATAGTAGCGTGACGCACTGCGCTTCAACTCCCACAGTCACCCATTCATTTGTTTTTCGAGACTGTTAGAAAGAAAATTGGCACGATGAAGTTAAGTCCACGAGAAGAAGATCATTTGATTCTGCATATGGCGGGAATTGTCGCACAGAAACGATTGGCGCGCGGACTTCGTCTCAATTACAGTGAAAGTGTGGCACTCATAGCGACTCAAGTGCTTGAGCTAATTCGAGATGGAAAGACAGTAGCAGAGCTTATGATGCTTGGAGCTCAAATGCTTGGTCGACGTCAAGTTATGGAAGGAGTTGCTGCGATGATGGATGAAATTCAAGTCGAAGGAACGTTTCCAGATGGTACGAAACTCGTGACTATTCACAATCCAATCTCAAGTCTGAATGGGAATTTATCGCTGGCATTGTACGGATCGTTTCTACCAGTTCCCAATCTTGAGATCTTTGGGCCAGTAGACACGACTCAGACGATTGTACCAGGAGAGATTATCACCCCAGATACAAACATTATTCTCAATGTAGGTCGTGAGACGCGCGTTCTTCAGCTCACGAATCTATCAGATCGACCAATTCAAGTAGGAAGTCACTATCATCTTATTGAAGCGAATCCGTACTTGGAAATGGATCGAATAGTCGCTTATGGCCATCGTTTGAACATTCCAGCAGGTACAGCCGTGCGATTTGAGCCAGGAGATCAAAAGACCGTCTCGATTGTTCCAATTGCAGGTAATCGAGTCATTTGTGGTGGAAATAACTTGGCAACAGGCGTTGTGGATACACTCAAGGTCGATACAATCGTCGCGAATGCCGTAGCGCAAGGTTTTCACCATCGTAAACTTGATTGGACTAAGGTACCGGATTATGCCACTAAACCGAAGTTTGGGATTTGTCAAATGTCTCGAAGTGTATATGCTCAAACATATGGACCGACCACCAATGACAAAGTTCGACTTGGTGATACGGACCTTATAATTCATGTTGACTATGATTTGACAGTATATGGTGATGAGTGTAAATTTGGGGGTGGCAAAGTCTTACGGGAAGGAATGGGGCAAGCTTCTCGTAAATTGTCAGATTACGTCGTTGACACTATCATTACAAATGCTTTAATAGTCGACTATACAGGTATTTACAAAGCAGACGTTGGAGTGAAAAATGGACTCATTTGCGCCATTGGAAAAGGTGGAAATCCGGATGTGATGGAGAATGTGACACCAAATTTAATTGTTGGGACTCATACTGAAGTAATTGCAGGTGAAGGATTAATTCTTACAGCTGGTGGTTTTGATGCCCACGTGCATTTCATCTGTCCACAATTATGTACTGAAGCACTTGCGAGTGGTCTCACGACACTAGTTGGTGGTGGAACCGGTCCGGCAACAGGTACAAAAGCTACAACTTGTACTCCCGGTCCAAATCATATCAAAATGATGCTTGTAGCCACGGATTCTTGTCCAATCAATATTGGTATTACAAGTAAAGGTAATACATGCGTTCAAGATGATTTACAAGAGACAATCGATGCTGGTGCCGTCGGTATGAAATTACATGAAGATTATGGGACAACCCCTGCTGTTATTGACATTTGTCTTAGTCTTGCGGAAAAGAATGATGTTCAAGTGACAATTCATACGGATACCTTAAATGAATCGGGTTGTGTCGAACACACAATTCGCTCCTTTCGAGATCGAACAATTCATACATATCATAGTGAAGGAGCTGGTGGAGGTCATGCACCTGATATTTTAACCGTTTGTTCTCAACTATCTGTCTTACCTTCATCCACGAATCCAACTCGTCCATATACACGCAACACGATTGAAGAACATATTGATATGTTATTAGTTTGCCACCATTTAGATGCAAAATGTGCAGAAGATGTTGCCTTTGCTGAATCTCGCATTCGTGGTGAAACCATTGGAGCTGAAGATGTGTTACATGATCTTGGAGCAATTAGTATCATATCATCCGATTCTCAAGCTATGGGAAGAATTGGAGAAGTTATAACACGTACATGGCAAACAGCAGATAAAATGAAGAAAGAACGAGGAATATTACCAGAAGATGCGGCTTCAAATCCGGGTTGTGATAACTTTCGAGTTCGACGGTATATTGCAAAATACACGATCAATCCAGCAATTGCACATGGAATGTCTCATTTGATCGGATCGATTGAAGTGAATAAACTGGCGGATCTTTGTCTTTGGAAACCCTGTTTTTTTGGAAGTAAACCTGAATTGATTTTAAAAGGGGGGATCATTGTTTTTGCTCAAATGGGTGATATAAATGCATCGATTCCGACGCCCCAACCAGTAAAAATGCGTCCAATGTTTGGAGGTTTAAATCCCTCAGTGATTGGACTTGGTTCAATTTCCTTTGTCAGTCAAAGTTGTCTTGAAAAGAAGATTGCACAGACGTATGGATTAAAAAAACGACTTGAAGCCGTTCGTAAATGTCGTGGAATCACGAAAAAAGACATGAAACTGAATGATGCATTACCAAGATTAAAAGTAGATCCAGAGACGTATCGAGTCCATGCAGATGGACAATTACTCACGTGTCGACCAGCTTCTTGCTTACCGCTTGCACAACGTTATTTTCTATTTTAAGATGCTGACATACTTTCATACATCTCATTAAACTGACAACGGCATCGTGACAACTGTCACGAGATAAAGCAATGAGTTGTGAGTGAGCTGGAGGAAAATTTTCTTTTACTTTTAGAAATGCTTTTTATCTTTTATTTTAAATTATTATTCAAATCTTGATGGATCGCTGGACAAGAAGTGACAAAAACCCGGAACAAAAAGTCGAGAATAGTCTCAAACGATCAAAAAGTCCGCTTTTATCTCGCGCCATCGTTAGCTTCATTCATTGAAAGCGCTTCCGAATTTTTCAGGACGTTTAGTAGTCATAAGACATTCTGCTTGTTCAATGTATGTAGGTCTTTGTGCTCAAAGACAAACCCGCAGCCTCAAATTCATATCACTGTTTGAATGGCTGTATTTCGATAAGACATTTATGTCACAACTTAATCTTGTCTTTCTTGGAATCATTTCGACAAGGACAAAACTTCAACCAAGCCTGTGTGCCCAAGCTTCGTGTATATTACCTGCCAACGGTTCAATCTTTAAGCGGAAGTGACTTGAAACGTGACATTCTTAAAGTCATTACTTTGATCCAATACCACGAGGTTCAAACACATACCCAAGAGCTTCAATGCTGCTATGGATGTGTCCCGATTGTACTGTTTGTCTTGCTCAGTAAGTGCTTCATACGGATTTAGATCTGGATTCAACACCAAGTCATTATTACGTCTGAGTCCCCATCGCCAGACTTGTTGTATACGTTTAATTGCCCTGCTATCTGAGAAAGTATTTTTCGAGCAAATTGATCGAATGTGGTAGTCGAACATGATGCGTTGTAAGTTGAAGGATATACAAGTATCCATCTAATTCTTGTAGATCTACTTGTGTCTAGGCCAATGGAAAGCGTTCAGGAAACAGGATAACTTCTTGTAACACACTTTTTTCGAGTTGACAATATCAAGATGACGTTTGTGTACTTTTCGTGCGATGCACATGTGAAACATGCATACAAGTTGATCAAATCGACAAGTGCATCCAGAACGTACAACCCTTTCTCGAAACAAATGATGTATCTCTGCGTCTGTAACAAGACGATGCTAAGTTATCTTGATCTCATCGATCATCGTCACAAATTCTGGACAATGAAGCTGATTATGGAATGACTTGTCTTTATTCTGGCCTCATAATATATCTAGTATGATCTATCGTTGCTGAACGATTCATCATTGATCTCAATGAGCACTCCCCATTTTAATCGATCGTGCTTTAATGTCTTTGCTTGAGACGATGCCATCAGAAACGTGACTCAATATTCGATTCGATTAATTCTATGCTCATCAAATTCTTTTCGTTGATGAGACTGAAGCGAAAGATGAGAGCACATTGACGAAAGGCATGCTCCCAAGCAAGTACCATTGTCCTAAGTGCGAGTGAATATTTGTAAGCTCTGATAAGCTACATAATCACAAAAAGAAAGTTTATCATTATTGAAAGCTTTTCAACGGCTCAAAACATGATCAAGGCAATGCAAAAAAAATTCCATAAAGTCAAGCGATCACTATCTCGATCATTTCATCGTATATTATCTCAAAGCTACTTTCAAGCCGACTTTAGTGAAGCAAGGAGAAATTACCACATACACCAAAGATAATGCTATTGTTTCAATATCGGTAGCAGATAGCTTTACTGAGGAGGTACTATAAAAGACAGTCCAAAAGCGTTGCTAACGGACATGCTCTTCTACATCGCAAGCGTTATGGTCAAAATTCATTGCCCCCCTTTGCGGAAATCATTTCTGCCCACGATTTGAAATGTTAGCAGGTTCTCGGGGTCGATCTGGACAAAACCGTTACAATTGTGAACAGCAGCATTGGTGTTGGGAAATAGATATGACAAGGTAAATGAGCAGATTGGTCAAGTGCCAGTTGGGTTCAAGAGCGGATGATATGACATCAACTTGATCAAAGACGATTTATTAGCTGTTATTGGTACTTTCAAATTTGTCATTAAAAAACTGACGTCGGAACTGAAAATGCTCGATATAATCAGCTATGTTCCAGCTGCAGCACGTATATAAGGACCTGTCTTGTTAATTGCAAGAGTCGTGAAAAGATTCGATGTGTATGCGGGCTTGATTAGGGTATTTTCTCGTACGAGTTCAGTACAGCATACATAGATCATTATCTGCTGAAACTTAAAATAATCCGTAGCCAACGGGTGGTGATCATGTCTCAACATCAGTCTCAATACGCCGTGTTGGGGTATTTAAAAAAAACGAATCAGTTCTCTAAGCGAAAAATGACAACTTTTATCGCTTTTCCTCTTTATTCCTCTCGAAGTTTTTAGTGCAGTCGAGACAATGTCGGCATGCGTCATGACCTAATGCCTGCCGTTAAATGAACTATTATCAAATGGCGCTCACAAGACACACCAAAGTTGCTTAATTTGGCCTACATCTTGGTATTAAGCAATATATTTTTGGACGTAAGATCAGCTTGGATTCAACGAACGCTAATATAAATAACCCTCAGCGATGGGTGAAGAAACAAAATTACGATAATTTTACGTTGAAGAAAGATGATGACTATTGCGGGGTTCCCGTAGCTCTTTGCTTGGAGGAAGCTAAGCTAAGATCACCAACCTTACGTTCTATGCAAGAACCAGTACAAGCGTAGTGGACCACAATCCGCTATCCTCAAGGGTACATAAAACCTTTACAAAGACGCTTTTTAGCTCAAAATTGAAACTGTAATTATTTTTTATTTGCGATAGAGCCGCCTGTTTTTAAAACTTTAGGCGCTCCAAATTAAATAGTAAAACTTAACCAATATGCATAACAACTGACAGTCCTGCCACGTAGTGGCTTCTTGTCACGGTGTAGCCACACGATTTTTTTTAGTATACCAACTTGTGTAATCAACACCTTTGTACAGTTACACCATCTTGTGTGACCCATCCCTTAATACAAAAATACGGTATGTGGCTAGGTAGCCAGTGGTTATGCATGTATTTAGATTTTACTCTATATATTTAGTATATTTAGGAAAATTTAAACTTTAAAAATTGGGATAAAAAATAAACAGTTTTGAATTTAAAGCGAAGAGTCAACTAGCCTTGGTAGGGCAATAATTACTCTTCGAGTAAGCGAATTGCGATCCGCTTACTCATACTTGGTCTTGTAAAGAACGAAAGGTCGGTGACCTAAAGTACGCTTCCTCAAGCGCTTAGCTAC